GCTGCTTCTTAACCTCGATCTGGTCTGGGTGCTGGTTCTGGTCAGGAGTCTGCAGCAATTTCTTGTTTGGCGAAGCTTTCCCTTGTTTGGCTGGGCTGTCGCTGCCATCGTTCTCCTTGTCGCTGTTGTTCTTGTCATCCTTTTCAGTAATGATCATCTCGATATTCTTCTCAGCCTGGACTCTGAACAGATCCTGGAGGGCTTCTGTCATGTCAAGGTTTGAATCAGGGTTGTAGGGTGTGGGTGTTGGCCTACAAGTGCCTGGATTTAGCTCATTGTCTTCTACAAGAGACCTGGTAATGAATTGAAGATCCAGTAACGACGGTAGGCTCTGTCTTGGCCAAGTGGAGTGATGCTCACACCCTTTGCCATGCTCAGTACCTGAAATTGACATCATGAGACCACAAGATAACACAACTGAACACCGTAAGCAATCTTTTCACGATGTTGCTCTTTCCAGTTCAAATTCCATTCCTCTCTTATACAACCATCCCCTAATGTGAATTCATTCTATTCTGACCAGCTGGCAATATGTTGAAAACAAAGGAGGTATGATGAATGCTGAAAAATCACGGAGCATTTCTAATCTTTACAACGTATATTCAAAACTATGTAAATAAACAATCAAACTGAAGTCAATAACCTAATTCATATGTCATACAAATTTCATAAAGGAGGGTGCTCAGTATTTTGGCTTTTGTTCTGATAGTTCTAAATAATAGAGGTTTTCAGCCAAGGAAAAACTGGAATTCTAAATATCTTCTTTTCCAATTTCCCATATTATCAAACTAATATTTACTTCCTGGTATACTACAATCTACTACACAAACAAAGAAGTCTGCCCTGCACCACAACAAACCTGCTGCATCAGTTCTCTCTCTCTCTTGAGGAAATCTTGTCTCCTGGCCTCCTTATTTTTCTCTTCCTTCAGAAGTCGAGCTGCCCTCACTACCTCGTCTTCCTCCTCCTCTTCCTCTTCCTCCTCCTCTTCTTCATCATCCTCATCCAGTTTGATAGGTTTGTCTGGCTCCCCTGTCATGGCTGCAGCAGCTGCTTTTTTCTCAGCTTCCTTCAGCAGCCTCTCTCTCTCTTTTTGCTTTCTCTCCCTTTTCTCCTGCAATCTGGAATGGAAAGTTATTAGCAAAAAACTTCCTTGACCAGCGTTCAACCTGAATATTGCAGATCTGAAACTTCATATCTGGCTCCAAAGTTTTCAACCGTGGGAGAGTCACTTACCGAGCAGCATTTTCGATCTTTTCCTTCTTTATCTGAGTCAACTGGTGAATGCGCAACTTGTTCTTCATCTCCTTCAGTTTATCTATGTTCTCATCAATGACATCACGAACTGAGGCGTAGGTTAGAATTTGCCCAACCAGGAGACTGAGGATTTTTAGCTTGTTTGCTATTAGGAAGAAAACATACATATATATATTTCTAAGAAATGATGTGCAGGCCAGCTAACAGCAATTCAAGCAAAACATGAACAAATTTATTGGCTTCTACAGTAATGTCATAATAGATGGTTTCCTTAACTGTGCTTGTTGAATCTAAACATACATGAAATGAAGTCTTGCTTTAAGCAAGGTATTTTCACCCTTTAAAAGAGGATCTACAGCAATTATAATAAATGGTTATATGCTCAACTTGACAAAAGATGGCAATTTATTTTTTGTTCATTTTTTTACTTGTCTCCCTTTACTTTAGCATCCTGTGGGAATACCACTGCTATATTCCAGTCGCTTTGCCTGTTAACCATATGCCGACAGGGAAAATCAATATTCAATGAAGTATGGTTTTGTGAAATGTCTACACACAGTTTCCTTCTTCTTTGTCTTCTAATGTTATTAATGCTATTATCATTATCATTGACATAAGAATTTTTGGTGCATGGACAGTTTCCGTTTCACCAGCTCATTCAATACTTTGCGGGCATCATTAGGCTGCCAGAAGCTAACATTTTTATATATATGTATATATATGTATATGTATATATATGTATATATATGTATATATATGTATATATATGTATATGTATATATATGTATATGTATGTATATGTATATGTATGTATATGTATGTATATGTATGTATATGTATGTATATGTATGTATATGTATGTATATGTATGTATGTATGTATGTATGTATGTATGTATGTATGTATGTATGTATGTATGTATGTATGTATGTATGTATGTATATATATATATATATATTATATATATATATATATATATATATATATATATATATATATGTGTATGTGTATGTGTATGTGTATGTGTATGTGTTGTGTATGTGTATGTGTATGTGTATGTGTATGTGTATGTATATGTATATATGTATATATGTATATATGTATATATGTATATATGTATATATATATATATATATATATATATATTATATATATATATATATATATTATGTATATATGTATATGTATATGTATATATATATATATATATATATATATATATATATATATATATATATGTATGTATATGTATATGTATATATATATATATATATATATATATATATATATATATATATATATATATACATATATATATATACATATATATATATATATGTATGTGTATGTATGTATATGTATATGTATATGTATATGTATATGTATATGTATATGTATATGTGTATGTGTATGTGTATGTGTATGTGTATGTGTATGTGTATGTGTATGTGTATGTGTATGTGTATGTGTATATGTATATGTATATGTATATGTATATGTATATATATATATATATATATATATATATATATATATATATACATATATATATATTATATATATATATATAAAATGAAGGTTTACCATCACTTTCGGTGCTACTGCCTTAAAGTTTCTCTATTACTACCAGAAAAAAACAAGTTCCATCTGATGAGCCGATGGACGTGGGAATTGTCATGATGCAATGCCACCCACTGTTTGTTCCACGACAGCCATGGTATGAACATGGGGTTACAACACTACTTACAATATAACATAAAAGGGTGTTGAGAAAGGTCAGACAAGTGATTGACTCATTGGTGCATAAACTGAACCATTTAGTGTAAATACAAATAATAAACTCAATACACCATAGGCGTGGCATCTACATAAGTGCCATCCCTCGCAATATTGGGTCAATTTTTCCATTTCTTTGTTACATGCCTTTCATTCTTTTTCTTCATTCCATTACGAGTGTAAAGGCCTGGATACTTTAAAACAATGTTGTTCAGAGTTATGTAGTGCTTTTAATATTTTTGCCAACAAAATCTATTTCATGAAGGTTTAGCCCCAGTATGGTACAATAAAATTACTGCTTTAATATCAAATCAACTAATACTGCTCAGAAAACAAATACAACTAGTGATATGTGCAAAATTTAAAAATAAGGACACTCAAAATACATTAACTGAATTTTTCCAATTATTCTTTCTGGCCTACCATTCCCTGTTGAATTTTCCAACTACTCTTTCTGGTTAACCATTCCTTCCTGAATTTTTCAATTATTTTTTCTGGTCTACCATTCCCTGATGAATTTTTCCAATTACTCTTTCAGGTCTACCATTCTCTGAAGCTACAAATACAACATAAATACACAAATATTGCATACACAGACATAACATCAAAATAAAAATAAAATCTGTATATAAACTATTAGCAAAATCGCAAGACATAAAGAGAGAGAGGAGAGATAACAAAGTTCGTTACTAGACAACATACCTAAAGGCAGATCTGAGACTGCTTGTGTGTTTAGGGCCTTGATGATAGCTGGCTCTTCCAACTTGAACTGCAGCCCCGGGTCATCCCGATTCTTAAAGCCACCACGGTTGAAATGTCTGTTGGGGAAGGGGGAAAACCTAAGCAAATAAAAGAAACAAAGCATGGAGGAAGAGGATGAGGAAGAGGTAGGAGGAGGATGAGAGGGTAGAAAATGGGAAGGAAATGAGGAGACTGATTTTGAGAGGAAGGCAAAGAGGGAAGAGAGGAATGGGAAGAAGTAGAGAAAGAAAGGAAAGGAGAGGGAGAGAGGCGGCGGAGGTATATTTCATGTTCTTATTTCTATTAATTTGGAGATGGCCAAGATTTATTTTTGCTTTTGGTGAATTTACCTTGTAAAATTATCATAGGGAAGACAGGACTACTGTAACTCAAAAATACTTGTGATATCCAAAACACACATTAGAATTTTTACCTTTGAAAGTATTTTCAGAGCTTAAACCTTCATAAAATTATGATACTACAGTAATAATACCATAAGTACAAATATCATTATTAATAACAAAGCAACAATTATAATATTTTGTGGCAATGACAAAATAATAAGACTGTAGCACAAATGAGCATGAAGCCTAATCTTTGCCATCCCTTCAGCATGCAACAGGATCAGAAGGAAATTCATTCTAAATGTACCTCCATCTGGCATTAGCTACACTAGTGCTCCCGAGGCCAGGATGTGCAAGCGCAGGACTTCTGAGAGGTGAGGGCATCAAGTGGTGCCTTCTGAAGGGGCACACCATGGTACTTGGCTCCAAGTGGAAGCACGGTTGGCCAAACGCACTGCCTCCTGAATTGATATGTCCTCAGTGTCCACTTCCATCACTTGAGTGGGAGAAAAAAAATATTAGCTGGAGGGAGAAAAATAGAGAGAAGAAAAAATGGAAATAAGGATAGTAGAGAAATGGTTGTATCACTGGAAAGGTTAACCCCTTGGATCTGGGTGACATGACCACCATGTGATGTAACCATAAAGCCATGAAAAAATTTGGCCAAGGACTGGGAACACAGGAATATGCAGTCATGATAATTTCAGCGGAGAGCTGGCATCACATTGAATGACTGGCCACGTGTGTACAAAGCTCTTGGAGGGCAATTAGACTCTGGGGTATTTTGGAATGGGCTCTCATATTATTTCTATTAGTAAATGAGTGTGTGAGGGAGGACACTATTTCAATTACAAGCATACAAGAAATATGGAAAATTAAACT